AAGCAAACCGCTTCAGGGCGGGGCAGCGCGGGCCCCTGCAGGGCAGGCGGCAGGGAAAGCGCCTGGGCACCAGCAAGGAGAACGGTGAAGTGGCAAAAAACACGGAAAAAGTGGGCGGAGGGGGAAGAGCCGGCAAAAGTCAAGCCAAGTGATACAAATCAAAGTTGAGACTCATCAAGTCATACTGCAAACTTTAATATCCAAGAAAAATCAAGTCCATTATGCACATTAAAAATAGAGGAAAGTTCACAGCAAGACATGGAACTCCCAATTCTTATCTTCGTAACTGATTTTAGAATGTAGTACATATAAATAAAAATACAGGACACTTTACATTTGTCAAACTTACTCCATATAAAGAAGTATTACACTGCAGATTATGCAGCATTTTGTATTTTACACTCAATACCACATACAGTTTAATAGTGACCTAAATTGTCTTGGCTTCAGCTGATAGACAAGTTATGCATTTTTTTCTCTGTGTATACAATTAAGAGAAGAATGCAATCACTGAATAATACACATTTATCCCTGTCCATTAAAATACAAACGATGAATTTTAAGAACTCATAAATAAGACTGCAGGTAAAACACAACTCATACAAATCATTCACAAGATTATTCTGCTTCCAACTCTTAGCGCAACTGTTACACTTCAAAAGGAAAGCCTCAGGGAAAATAGGCATTTTCTAAATGAAAAACAGAAGCACATCACTATATACCTGACATAAGTCAGTAAAAACATGTATTTTCCAAAAGCAAAGCAAAAAAAATGGCACTTTCAACAATGTGTAGTAGTGAAGAACAAAAAACCAAGAGAACAAAAGATACTGAGGTTCAGTCAATGCAAAAGGTTCAATGGTCTATTTGTAAAAACAGTAACACCATATTTCAAGAGCAACTACAGACTGGTTAAAAGAGGCAGAAATTGGGCAATATTACAGATGTAAATACTCAGCAACTGCATAATTAACATTTACTTAACCTTGTCTTATTTCAAGGAGAAATTGAATAAAATGAACACTGAATAAAATGCTGATCACTTTTTAGCTAAGAAAAAAATCAGTATGAAAGCAAAGAATCACAGATTTCATAGAAAAAAACTGGAGCAAGTAGTACAATAAGGAAAATCAAAGCAACAGAAGACTTTTCTGAGGTGTGCAGGGGCTTACTTTTGTATGTATTACAATGGCAGTGTTTCAGCTTTAAAGAGGTCTTTCCTGGAGCAGGGTTAGACTTTGAGTGTTCATTGAAGGAGCTAAAACTTGATGGTGCATCTTTAGGAAGACGAGACAGTTCAAAGAAGGCTATTTTAAGTAAAGCTCTAATGAAAATGTCTGTGATCCAGAAGCCTTTATCTTTGATTAGGATTCTGAGCAGAAAAGAGCACAGTACTGAAACATCCACAGGCTCTCTCCCTTACGCAGTGTTGAGACTATAACAAAAGTAAAGACATGTTTTTCCCTCCATGCAAACTTTCAATTAAAAAACAAAAAAAAATAGGCACAATTCTCCTTCCTTAACAGAAGAAAATCCAAAATCTTGTAAGGGATACAGCCCCTATTAAAAAGATGTGATTAGGCCATCCCCATGAAAAAGGGACTATAAGTAATTGAAAAAAAAAAGTGAGGTTGTTTGAAAAAAGGATGAAAGAGGTACCTAAGTTAACCAGCACATTAATATAAACAAAAAACAAATGGCTAACATGACACCGCCTCTCAGCACAGTAATTGTTAACTAATGTTTTCCCATTTATGCAACTTCTAAGTGACAGAAGCCTCGGTCTCTCTTGTATAGTGACAGGTTTTGTAGATGAAATATTCACATAAGCCTTATTTGCCAGGAAAAAGATAAGGTAAGGAGTCAAGAGGTAGATTTTACAGTAGCGTGGGCAAACTGCCTTGAAGTTACAACCAGATTATCTACCAACTGGCCTGCATATGCTGACTCAGAGGAGGAGGCATTTTGGTTACAGTACATCTTGTTTATATGTAACTTTTTTTTTTTTTTTTGTTGATGTGGGGGGGGGGGTGGAGGAAGAGAAAAAGGGATTTCTTTTCGCCCATGACCTGTTCATGCCATGGATAATTCAGTTATGCTATTAAATTTTGAAAAAGAAAAGAACTCAAAGTATAACAGGACTTTCTTTAACAAAATATATTGTTTCCACATCTTTGACTTAAGCGGTAGGCAGGTGATTCAAAACCAATATATTTTAAGTCTGCAAAGCCTTGAGTATTTCAGTTTCAACACCAACAGATTAATCACAATTGGTGTTAATCCGGAACTGAGGTTAGTTTACTGCTTCTCTATGACGCGTTCTTCACTTAGTAGTCTGCTTTCACATAGTATTTCAAATTGCCTACAGATTTTGTGTTTTAATTACAGTTAACAGTCAGATTGGAAGATTAGCTCTTGCACAATAATCTACTTTATTCCTATTTCCAGTTCCACAGAAAATGCGGTCTAACAGTTCTGATGGCTATATCTTCCAAGAAACATTTTACTGCTTGTCAACCTTTTCAGATTTCGTAATTTATTTCAGGTGTATACCTAGAAATACTTCTTTAAACTGTGACACAGCTAGTACAGTAAGCATCTCTATGCATTCCTAACATCACAAAATAGAAAAAAAATATTATAAATTTATGAAAACTGAGGCAGCGTATGTTGACAATTAGCATGGTTAGGGCAAACATAAAATTTTACACTCAAGAACTTTTTTTTTAAACGCATTCCAAAGCACAAAGACAGTGTATGTGAACATTTCCCCCTCCATTTTCATTAGCACAGTACAAATATGCATGGCATAGTACATGTCTGGATAGCAATAGAGATATTAAGAAAATAGACACTATCTAAATCCTAATTAGGAATAAGAAGGCACCACTGATTTGAGGTTGTGTCCAGACATCACCCAGTCAGTTTTGTTTTCAATTTTAGCATTTGAGCCAACATTTTTTTTCCAATTAACCTATTCAAACCGCTTCTATTCTGGTTTTCTCACGACAAACAACACACATTCATAGTAGTATTTCATCATGGAGAGTTCATTCACAGTGTATGTTGATAATACAGATTCTTTCTCCACCTGAAAATAAAAAGCAGAAGTCTTCAAAAGACTTTCTCTACCAGCACTGTACAAGTTTCTCTCAGTCTATGAGAAACTGCTATATACCTACTACCAACAGATTTCAGTGCCTATCTACTCACTTTTTTTAAAAAAGTGAGAAAAGTAAAAATTTGCAACACAATTACAAGCATTTAACTCTTCTGAATGTTATTAGTCTGTGCCATTAGGTTAAACTGCATTTAAGGTAAAGTTCATATGAAGGAGCTTGTCTAGTCTGTACTGCACATTCCTCATCTACAGTATCTTCTCACCTCGATATGGAATCCATACTGCAGTATAACATTTTTTATATCCTCATAGCTTAACTCTATAGAAAGTTCGTTTGCCAAGTTTTCAAAGTGGTAAAGGAGAGGACCTAGAGTAAAAGGATAAAATAGAAAGTGATGTCAAAAAAAGGAACTTTTTTTGCAATCAGAAGCACATACTGAAAGTGCTAAGAACGGTAATAGTCAATCCCACTATATTTAAATAGAGACAACAAAATTACATATTTCTATCACTCAAGTATGCTTTTCATAATGGATTTCAGAATCAGTATAAACGGAGAACAAAACACTTCAAATGATATTGAGCAATGAAATCTCGCTTCCTACCAAATTGCGTCTTATGTCTCTTAAATTTTCTTCCATCATTGTAGAATCATAGCTGTCTCTACCGCATCGGAGGCAGGACAGGCTGTGGGCTCTACAAGAGCTATGTTCACCTTCTGACTGACCAGGACAGGTGTAGTGACTGACTGACTACTAAACAAAATATTTGATGCCTGAGTTTTTTGTGCTTTTCCCTCACCATGGCAGAAATTTTAAGTCTCTCTTCCTTTGAGCCAAAGCATTCACAAATCTTATCCTTGAAACTTCTGCTTACAAGCATAGTACCAATTAAATAACAGGTAAAGAGAACAGAAAGGATGTTTTTACAGAGAGAACAATTTTTATTTCCTTAGAAAAACAGCAGGAAGAATACAGGACAGTTCTGTCAACTAACAGAAACACGCGATGCATGTTTTCAAAACATGGCAGCGGGCAGCTTTGATTCCATATATAAAATCACTTGAGAGTAACTTAAAAATAACCATTTGGACATATTCATCACTATTTGGACATACTGAACAGGCCTGAGATGACTTGCTAGCTGTGATTTTTTTTTTTTTTTTTAGCTCTATAGAGTTTTCAGCACAGACACTTTCATCCCCATGACTTTTTTGAGATACTAGGGGCCTGTTATGTGAGGAAACAGAACTTGGGGGTAGGGGGAAGACGGGTTGGTCACACTTGCCTACATTTATCCATATTCCTCCAGGCTTTAGTATTTTCCATATTGTATCAATATAATCAATAACGTTATGTGCTGTATCTATGAAGAAGCAGGTGGCTATGCAGTCCCATGTATCTGCAGAAAAAGAACATATCAGACAGATCAGTTTCAACGTTTCTCCCCCTGTAAAAATTGAGCCCCAATATTTGTTGTTACACTTAGCCTTTCCTTCAACTAATAATAAAAGCTGAACACTTTTCATATTTACAGAAACTAGTCATTGTGTTTTATGTAAATGATAGGCAGTAAGTTTGTTTTTGTGGGGTATGCAAATATATACATATATATAGGCCCAAATGGACTCATACTCACCTATTTTTATGAACTTCACTACCAGAACTGTTAAAAATATAAATGCAAAAATACTCAGTGACTTTGGACCTCTCCAGCTATGTTAAAACCTAGAACAGATACATGTCTACATATTAACGCTTTTTTCTTTTTTTCCCTCCACAAATTATACAACGTCAAAGCATTTTATCCAGTATCTGAATGATTCTCCAGCTGTTTTTTACTAGTGTATTTAACAAGCAAGATCTTTCCAGGACTACCTTTTGAAGTATGAGGTGCCCCCCCTTTTTTTTCCTTTTTGTTAAAGATATATCTTTGTAATTGTAAAAGTTCTCTAAATTAAAAAAAATAAACTGAATTTATCGCCAGCATCAGATAGCCTAATACAAAGCAGATTAATCTGCAGAACGCTGAGCAATTATAAGGAAGGCATCCTTCAACAAAATACCTGGCAGCTTAGCTGCACAGATAGAGGCTGATCGAAAGTCATTCAGTTCTCGTGAAAATAACTGTAGGTCCAATAAGGATGGAGAGGTGGAAGCAGAAAACAGAACTCTTACGTTTCTGTTCAACTCAATACTACGTCAGGAAAAAAAAAAAAGAATGACTTCCTGAAACAGGCATACTCCATGTTTCTTAGTCTTTGCTCTACTAAGATCAGGAGTGCTAAGGGTAAGCGCTATCCTTTGTTCAAAAGCCTAAATATGTAATTGGCAGAGTAATCGCTAAGGGAGGTCATCTTCTGCAGATTAATTCAACATTAGGTTAGTCATAAACGATTAATAGCTGCAATGAAGACAGCATGAGTAATCTGGTATCACCGGAAAAATAAAGGTATTTGTACTGAATGGAACATCTCAATCTTTAATAATTACCATCCTCACAATGTGCCCCCAAAATAACCGGTACTGGCAGTCAAGAAGCAAGTATTTGTTTCGTTTGTAATTAACGACTTCTGAAACAGTTGGGTATGTTTTTACAACAAAAAAGGAATCAACAGAAAATACTCATCTTTATATTTCTTGCATTAAAGAAGAGAATGGACTCTCCATTCCACACTCTTCATCCGTTTAACATCACTTTCCTTTATCACATAAATTTTTCCCCTCAATTTCCTTTGTTGTCTTTTTTTGGAAAGAGACTACTGCAATAGCGTATTCTTTTATAACTAAAAATTAAACAAAAGCTTATTTGGAGTAAAAAAAAATCTTGCTACAGTTAATACTTTTTCACTTAACAATCAAAGACATAATTCCACTATTTGCAATCATTTATTTGTTCCATTCTGTTTGTAATCATTTCTTATTGTCTTATCACTAATACACTGTACATGGAAAGACTAAATATTTGCATCTACTCACTGCACTCAGAGTAAATTTCTTGAAAATCCCCTGCTGTCATAGAGAAGTTTGCACCAGAGGGAAGACTGTGAGGGTCAACATCAGGGAAATAAATTGGTCGTATCTGATCAGCAGATCTTCTGTTATTGCTAAACTGATGAATCCAGGGATAAAGTTTACATGAGTTAACTTCAGAACATCTGCAAAACAAGGAGGTCAAAACAACTCAGTTTCACTCAGCTGCTTATGCATTATCTAAAAATGTAGATATCTTACACAGAAAATGATGTACAAAAAGACTTTCATCAACATCCGTGATTTTGTTGACAGAGTTAATGCTAAAGCTAGAATCTTTCCCAAAGCATTTCTATGTATTTCAAGACACATCAATTTATGAACTGATCAAACAAGACTAAACAGTTTCACTCTCTGATATATAAAACTATCACCACTCAATAACTGCCCTTTTTTCATTTAAAACTGTCTTCCCCCTTTTCACCACCTTCCCCAACTTACTTTTCACTGAAAAGAAAGCTAACAAGATTCCTTCTGCGAGATGGGCAAAATTTGTGATTCAGTAAATTCAGTAAAGCTGATAAAGACTTTCTAGAGTATTAAAAAAAAGCAACAACAGTTTCATGTTTGTCTTGAATTTTCTTGGGAATATTGTACTCACTCCAGGTTCTTGTGCCTTTGTGAAGCATAATCGTAGGGGTTTTGAAACACAGCTAAAAAAACCCCTTTTTTCAGATGCTAAATGACAGCCCATATTTAACTTTCAAAATCTTTTTGCAAAGGCATAGAAGTTTTGCACCAGATGTCTCTTAGGCTATTAACATCTGAAGTGTTGCAGTTATGCAAAATAAACATGTCTGTCTTAAATAAAACCTGTTGATTGACATGACAAACTAAGCAAACTCTTAGAAAGTGATAAAATGACATTCAAAGTAAATAAAAGTAAATAAAAAAAAGTTTTCCCCAGAGTCCTGCAAACTCAATTTGTAAAAGGGAAAAGTTTTCTCTCCCCATGCATCACCACCAAATTCTGCAGTCAAGCCCAAAGCTATGATATACATGCATAACTGAATATTCAGGGATAAGAGCAGACTTCTGTTCCATCAAATACTTATGCACAAAAACTTTTTAAACTGCAAGCACTCTACCGGTTTCCAAAAAAATGCATTCTTTTGGCTGGTGGACAAAAAATATCTGAAGTAAAAACTATGAAATATACATATTGACCTTGATGTCACATTTATATTTAGTTTTCTCCGTAAATAACAATCAATCATATATGAACAGCAGTATACTGAGCTCATCAACTGTCTCCATATATAACAGATATATAAATATCAGATATATACAATCCCAACAGTCATAAAGAAAATAAACAGGGAAAAACCCTGATAACACGGGCATAATTTCCTTCAAGCAAGAGATTTCTACTTGGGATGACTTCATAAAATAATAAGAAAAAAAGGTCTGCCTATCAAATGTTTGTATGTTAACCATTTCAGCATTCTCTTTGTGTTCACAGTTAGTTTGTATTATCCTTAGAACACTTCCGTAAAACAATGACATTTTCAGACAAGTAAGGTAAAGAAGCTAAGAGACCTGAGCTGATTACAAAGGAAATCTTTTCTGAGCCTGCCAGTGAACACACACCTTTCAGTACTTATTTTCCTTCTCATTTTTGAGCACAAATTATTTACATGTAGACTTCTAGACAGTTCCAGCAAAATTCCCTATTGACTGTAGAAGAAGGACCCCACTCCACATTCAATCTTGAAAACCTTCCCTTTCCACCTTCCTAAGTTTTACCTCAAAACTAAATACTGTGGTCCTTCACAATTACCATCCTTCCAACAAAAGATCCGTGATACAGTTTAGGTTAAAAATAACTAACATCTTTAACTAAGAGCATGAGGCACTTCACTTCTAACAGGGCAGTATCATTTACTGTGCAATACAGTCTGAAAAGCTAATTCTGGAAGAGACAGGTAGGTCAAATCTTACTTTTGAACACTGGTTTCAAGATAAAACACTTCAATGTTTTCATCTGAAGGCATTCATCGATATGCAAAAACTACAATTAAGCAACCTTCTCAATTTGTCAAGATTTATCTACAAAGACATTCCTTCAGGAAAGTAAAGGTTAGCCAGCTGTTAGTGTGAATTCTGTATGCATAATTCAAGCACTTTAAATCACTCCTCTTCTTTGTTTGGGTGCAAAGTGATTTTATATTACCTCAACTCAATTTCCTCAAATATTCACAGGTGGGAACACTGCTTCTACTCATGCACTGTTGTGCTAAGGCTACTGAGCCCGCTCTGAATCTCCAGCTGCAAAATAAAGCAAGTCAGCAACTAGCTGCACACTAGATCAATTCTGCTGCACAGCAGAAAAGCGAGACCCTAGAAGAGCCCATGTCTCCTCCACATAGACACTACCCTGTCTTCCCTGCATTACATCCTTATGACATGTGATAGCAAGTTCCTTGGCTCTAGACCACTTGAAAATTTTGGTATGCTTCCCAGAGGCAGGAATACTGCTTATGACTTTTACAGGTTTTGCTCTGCCAAAGCATGGGAGAAATGAAGTGTGTCTGCACGTCACCAGTGCTCACCTCTGCTATCTGTCATTACATCCAGGTAAACTACACCAACAATGCAAAAAACTTTACCATTAAAGAAAAAGTTGAATCTCCTATGTGAGGACTGCAGCAGCTTTGCAGCGCTATTGCTTAACTCTCCAGAGCCATTTTGTTTTGGAGCTGGAGCTTCCTCGATGGAATACTGCATTTTAACCAATGCAGTTTTCAAACCTGGGTTGAAAATTCATTTCAATTTTTCGGTGACCACAGTTACGCCTCGATGTACTTTTGCATTCAGTACATACCATGCTTTGAAATTTTATGCACAGCAACGTGAGTTCTCAATTGAAGCAAAGAAAGTTCTTTCACACGTGTTAAAACCAGCAGGTATCACTTTGCGTGCATATTTAAGGCACTGTACCAAATCCAGAAGGCCCACTTTAGTAGTAGGCTTCGCATTAAAGACAAGACTTTCTGAATCCTTAAAAATAAATCAAGATCATAGAAAGAAGGAGATCAAAACTGTAAGCATGCATTAAGAAAAATCCTCATTTATCAGCTGAAAACAAAAACTAATTAGGAACTATACCATGCTGAACTGAACAGAATTTTCAAAAAATGATTTACCCTTTTTTAAGCATCACTGAAATCGATAAAATAATCTAGCATTTTACTCAAAGATATTTTTCTTGTTCCATCCTGGGAAGTCCTAGGCACCAACTTTATCCTCCTTCTGGATAAAT